TGTTTAATACCCGTGGAGTTACCATGTTATCAGGAGTAAGATAATATAGATATATAGATCTATATTATCTTACTCCTGATAACATGGTAACTCCACGGGTATTAAACAACATAGTTGTGTTCACTTGGCACTTTGTTCTCCTATTTCGTCTGATCGTTTTTCTAGGTGCTTGCATATAGTTGGACGAGTATTTCAAGACTGGGGTAATCTCAGACCGTGACACCGGCATTACGTAATTTAATTTGGCAAATAAACTGAGCGCGTGGGACAGTAATGTTGCGTTAAACAAATTCAAGTCAGTTATAAAGCGAACAGTCGGATTGTCACAGGGAAAACGTTGTTTTATTTCGCACAGCACTCTGTCATCGTAACCGGCCTTGTTCTCTCTCCGCTGTTGATATACTGTGTAAACGTATGCTTGTAGTTTCGTTTCATTGTCCAGAGTGATTCCGGTATATACATGTACCCGTCAGTCCCATAATGCATAGCGATGTACTAAAGGGATTCGGAGTAAACATGGCGTAAAGACTTGACTCGGGATCTGTGTTTGTCCTTGTATTTGTTGAACCTACACGTTATCAACAGTTATCAGGGTACGTTCCGGTATACCGGACCGTACCCAGGGTACGTTCCGGCAGTACCCTGGGGGGCATAGACCCTATCAGCCATACTAGATGCTATCATCATTAAGCTTCTTATAGATCCTTTACTCATAACATAAAATAAAAACAAATTATATACAAATAGTCAAATATATAAATACAATTAACACTGTGCGTACAGTTTTAGAAATTATACCTTGGTGCATTTTGTAGATAGGAGCCCAAGCACTTGTGCACCGACTCATCAAATATCACTTGGCACCAAAACATCTGGTGTGGAAGCCGTAGCAACCAGCGGAGGTCGTTAGCGAGAATATTCATTCTTGCCACCCACTCATCAACAGGTGCCCCTGCATGCTCCTTAGGTGGACTAATGTACGTGATGAAGCCAGAACCTTTGTCTATCCAGTCTGGATGCTGCAAATGATTGCACAACTATTAAACATATTCTAGGATTCACAAACAGAAAACTTGTGCAGTTCAATGAGAATGTGTAATTAAACAGATAACCAAAGTCATAATGTTAACCAAGTTCAAGTCAAGTTCAAGTAATCTTTATTTAAAGTCGGTATGTTTACAACATGAGAAACATAAGCTCTGGTGAGCTTTTAAGACCGACCAACTAACATAAGTAGACCAATAATTAAAACAATACATAACAATTTTAAAAACATGCATACTATACAGGCATTCGAGTACATGAATAAATTATAAGTATAATACATGGATATTTAAAATTTATAGCAAACAGTTACAGATGTTACAAAATTTACTAAAAACATACTGCAAATTAAAGATCATTTGCACATTGCACATTTGCATGCAAAACCATTCCATGTTTTGATAAACATTTTAAACTCGTTAAAACATACAGTCTGTCTGGCATTTTCTGGCAGACTATTCCACACCTTTGCAGCTAATGTTCTAAAACTATTTTCGCCATATGTCACAGTTCTGGTATTTGGTGTGGTTAAAACATTTTTGTATTTAAAGGAGTACGCAGATTTCCGCATGTGGATAAAATCATTTAAAGGGACAGTAGCCTCTAGGATTTTACTGCATACAACTGTACTTACTGTATAACAAACCGTCTATATAATACCCAAACGTATTTGTTACCAGATACCTAATTTAATTGTTATAATGAATTACACATCAACGCTACGAAATTTGAACGGCGCCATGACACCCGCGACCGTGCTGCCACCCCGAAAAAGTTGCGTATTTGACCATTTAATTATTTTGCACGTTACAGACCGAGGGCTAATCACAAAAGTGAAATTATATTTATACCTAAATGCTATTTAACCGAACGATATTCATTTTAGGGCAAATTTATCCATATTACTGGGGCGTGATTGACGCGTATAGGCTTAACTTGTCGCTCGCTAATCATTTCCTAACTAAACCAAACTCAGGCAGCTATACATAGCAATAACCATAATAGGATGAGACCAAACGTGATACCCTGTGTCAAGGTCAAACTGTTCAATCAAGTTATTAAACAATCAAGACTTCCTATTCATTTGTCTAAGATAGTGGTAGTCACTACTCTATAAAGTTTTGCATACAGTAGTAAACCATATGTATACTATCTACTATACCTGTTTTCTAGACATGGCTTTAAACAGCTGAAGAAAACAAGCTTGCGGAAAAATTTCACAAAACTCAGTCGTGCGAATGATAGTAGTCTCTTAAGCTCGTCTGCGGAGCTGTGGTAGCAAAAACAAAAGACAGATAAAAAAACAATTAACCTAAATCTTTATAATTAAGAATACGAAATGAAATAGTTGTGAAATAATAGTAATAATAGTAAATGAATTATTGATAAGGAATAATAAGGAACTGACTGAAAATATTTTATTTGCAGTTTTGTATAATTGTACTACTATTTATTACACTATCCTATTTATTCAATTATCTGCCTAAATAATTATGAGGCAAAATCTAGCCTTGACAAGCAGTAGACAATATACATCAGTTCAACTAACAAAAGATCACCTTTACAAAGTGTACATAAGTTTGTAATCACGTACTTACAATGATGCCATTCCTGAACAACGTTTTATATCTTTCTTGAGACCTGGGATCACATTATCACAGAAAACTGCTACTTTTATAGGTACAAGTCCATGCAGAAATGAGGTTGACGCTGGAGGATACATCTCCAGAAACCAATGCAATGTGACACTTATGTCTGTGACATAGACAACAAGGTCAGCTATATCATGTGGGGACAGTGGTGTCATGAACTCAGTGTCCAGTCGCTGTGGCGTCAATGCTTTCTCTTCTATCAATCTTTTCTGAATATTATCAAGTACCTGTCACCATGAACAAAATATATAAATTTTATTTTTATTTAAAGATTCTTATCTTCTCTAACAATGTTGACCTTTATTCAGATTTTTTGTCGCTAGTTTTCTATTTTAATCTGAACAATGTTACTCCAAATGTAAAATACTTGAATTGATGAAATAATGCGATAAAGTTCAATATTTTACTAGTAAATTGACAATAAGGCAAACCTCCATAATTGTAGGAATTGCCTCCTCCAGGTCATCCATGTACTTAGGCTGCTGGCCAAAAATATTTTGAAGCATCTTTCTCAGTAACTGTTCATTTCCCTTTCCATACAGCACACAAATGTCCATCAGCTTTGGAATATCAAACAGGTAGTTTTCATAGATTATATCACCAAATGCTGAAGGTGTAATATGTGCCTCCTATAAACAAATAAAGAAGTGTACAATCAGGCAACACTAAACCAAATAGCCAAAAATATGTTCATTGAATGCTAGCCACAGTAGACTTTCTTCTTATTGAATTTTACTACTGGAAGAATGAATGCATATTGAGACACGTCTAAAAGAAGTAAGACGAGTAATTCCCCCATTCATGCTTACTATTTAATGAAGAAATTATTGATATTATACTTACAGATGACTCCTTATAGGTACTCATTCTCAAGTATGTCATAAAAACTTTTGTGTGAATTTCGGTTTGTAGTTCTTTCACGCTCTCATCGTCCAGACTTGCATAATGAGAATCAAAATACCTAAACAAAAATTAATAAGCTAAAATAAGCATGGATTGTGATATATGTATCTAAATAACAATTAACACATTTTACACTCCTCTTTATATTATACTTGCTAGGCTAGTGATCACTAGATATGAATAAACTGAAATGGAGTGCAAGGCATTTGAACATACTAGAGCTGATAGGGTCTATGTCCCCCAGGGTACTGCCGGAACGTACCCTGGGTACGGTCCGGTATACCGTAACGTACCCTGATACTAAATACTTCTATCTAATATGACGGACCGTACCTCGCCGACTCCACTAACGAGTCTAGGGAGTCGCCTACGCCTACTCCCTAACCCTAGCCCTAACCCTAACCCTAACCCTAACACTAACCCTAACCATATCAGATAGATAGTTATTGTTGATATACTGTGTAAACGTATGCTTGTAGTTTCGTTTCATTGTCCAGAGTGGTTCCGGTATATACATGTACCCGTCAGTCCCATAATGCATAGCGATGTACTAAAAGGATTCGGAGTAAACATGGCGTAAAGACTTGACTCGGGATCTGTGTTTGTCCTTGTATTTGTTGAACCTACACGTTATCAACATGGTGGCAGCGGTGGGATGGCCCAATATATGTCCCGATTCGTCCTAGATTTGGCCGGAACACTTGAGCGCCACTCAGAGCCCTGACACGGAAAAGGCACGAGTTCATCTGCGTGCCAGACGTGTGAGAACGCATTTACAACTCTGACAAGAAGCCTGACCGAGCTCCATGCTTGCATACTTTGATGTATCTAAAGAAGTAGTGATACAAGTGGACAGTAGTAACATGCGTCTTGGCGCTGTACTCTTGCAAGATGGCGCTCCAATAGAGTACGCAATCGCGTGCACACCCAGTGACAGAAGTGGCACAAATCGAGAAGGAAGCTTTGCAGTTTGTTTGTGTCTGGATCGGTTTTGACCAATACACTATGGCAGACCAGTAAAGAGTGGAGAATGACTACAAGCCACTAGCCTCATCTTGAAGAAACACTCAGCATTGGCGCCAAAGAGACTCCAAGATATCATGATGAGATACAACCGATATGACGTTGAGTTTTGTGTTCGTAAAGGCGTGAACTTGGTATTGGCAGACACCTCAGTCGAGCACACCTGGATTCTCAACAGGGAAATCATGACGATCGTCTCACGCATCATGGCAGTGCAAGTGTTTGGCAATGTACCTGATGCACGTCTCGAGGAGTTCGAGAAGCAACAAATTCTGATGACAGTTTACAAGTCATCATTGAGCTGATACGTGAAGGATGGCCAACTGAGAAGACGAACATTCCTTCATGTGCATTACCATATTTTGACCTCCGTGATTCACTAAGTTGTGAGTGTGGACGCGAATTATAGTCAAGGTGAAGCAATTGTAATCCCATCAAAACTGAGCACGAGTATAAAGGCGAGACTCCACAGCGCACATTTGGGCTATGACAGTATGTGAGACGAGCCCGTGGAACTGTAACTGGCCAGGGATGGCTGGTGACATAAAACAATTAGCTGACACATGCGAAACATGTCAAGAAGGAAAGCGAGAAACTCGCGGAGACCATTGCGACAGCATGAAGATGGAGATGCCCCCTGGCAAAGGTGGGAGGGACTTATTTGAAGTTCTAGGGAAACACACTTAGTGGTCGTGGACTACTATTCAGGTTTCATATGAAGTTGAGCCAGTAGGATCAATGACAAGTGCCAGAATTGTGAAGATTCTAAAGACAATTCGCAAGATTTGGATACCACAGCTGATTTAGTCAGATGGTGGTCCGCATTTGTTAGTGGCGGATTCAAAACATTTTGTCGCAGACATGGGGAATCACACCCGACGACATCGTCTCCCATGCACCAAAGTGCCACGGCAAAGCGGAAGCAGCCGTGAAGGTGATGAAAAATCTTCTCAAGAAGACCAAAAGGATGGAGGGGAGCCGTATCAAGCGATACGGAGCAACGTAATACACCCGTCAGGATACATTGCTCAGCCCAGCAGAAAATGATGTTGGTCGGAAAACAAGAAGTTTTCTGCAAGCATAAACCGACAACCCACAGACAAAAGAAAGGTGGAAGAAGACGACTCCTGAGAAAGAAGTCCGTAAAGAAACATCATGACGCGAAAGCGAAGAAACTCTCAACGTTGAACGTCAACGACACAGTATTCTTCCAACACCTGGAAGGAAAGCAGTGGAAACCCGGAAAGATTGTGAATTCCCGTGGTCCCAGGACGTACGAGGTGAAAGGTCCCGATGGTGCTATTTATAGGCGGAATCGCATACATATGAGACCAACGATGATCGACACGACACCAAAAATACGTGACAGATCCCCCTATCGGAGCATCATGCGCGAGGAGAATGTCGTTCCGGTAACAACCAGTCCTTGATAACTCGATACAGTAGTGACGAACATGCAGGAAAAACTCAAATGACAGTAGTACTGGTATAGTGTGAACAGCAAGAACTGGTAATCAGTACTCCATACCAGAGAGTAATGCAATTTCAGACCCAAACGAGCGGTGAGAAAACCCTCTTATTCTGAAGGACTATGTTCAGTAACTTTCATGCATGGTATACTCGGTGTACTACAAGTAGTGCGACATGACATGTGAATATGTTGTGTTTTATGTTTAGTATTTCATATCAGTGAAAGTGAAAAGGACTTGTACTGAATTGACAGTGAGTTAATTTTACACGTGAGTTTTTTTAATCAGTGACAATATTTGAAGCATCGTGGAATTTGGTGCAAAGACCTGAAGTTTATTTGTTATTATTCACGTACTGTTTGGTTCACAGTGCTAGAAATTCCATAACGTGCATTATTGTTACATTAGTTTATGGTAAAGTTTATTTTTCTTTTAAAGTTCTAGAAATACTTTTAACCTAAAGAAAAGGGGATGTTGATATACTGTGTAACGTATGCTTGTAGTTTCGTTTCATTGTGTCCAGAGTGGTTCCGGTATATACATGTACCCGTCAGTCCCATAATGCATAGCGATGTACTAAAGGGATTCGGAGTTAAACATGGCGTAAAGACTTGACTCGGGATCTGTGTTTGTCCTTGTATTTGTTGAACGCTACACGTTATCAACAGTTATCAGGGTACGTTCCGGTATACCGGACCGTACCCAGGGTACGTTCCGGCAGTACCCTGGGGGGGCATAGACCCTATTCAGCCATACTAGATGCTATCATCATTAAGCTTCTTATAGATCCTTTTACATCATAATAATAAAAACAAATTATATACAAATAGTCAAATATATAAATACAATAACACTGTGCGTACAGTTTTTAGAATTATACCCTGCGTGCATTTTTTAGATAGGAGCCAAGCACTTGTGCACCGACTCATCAAATATCACTTGGCACCAAAACATCTTGGGAGCCGTAGCAACCAAGCGGAGGTCGTTAGCGAGAATATTCATTCTTGCCACCCACTCATCTAACAGGTGCCCCTGCATGCTCCTTAGGTGGACTAATGTACGTGATGAAGCAGAACCTTGGTCTATCCAGTCTGGATGCTGCAAATGATTGCACAACTATTAAAATATTCTAGGATTCACAAACAAACTTGTTGCAGTTCAATGAGAATGTGATAATTAAACAGATAACAAAGTCATAATCGTTAACCAGTTCAAGTCAAGTTCAAGTAATCTTTATTTAAAGTCGCGTATGTTTACAACATGAGAAACATAAGCTCTGGTGAGCTTTTAAGACGACCAACTAACATAAGTAGACCAATAATTAAAACAATACATAACAATTTTAAAAACATGCATACTATTACAGGCATTCGAGTACATGAATAAATTATAAGTATAATACATGGATATTTAAAATTTATAGCAAACAGTTACAGATGTTACAAAATTTACTAAAAACATACTGCAAATTAAAGATCATTTGCACATTGCACATTTGCATGCAAAACCATTCCATGTTTTGATAAACATTTTAAACTCGTTTAAACATCAGTCTGTCTGGCATTTTCTGGCAGACTATTCCACACCTTTGCAGCTAATGTTCTAAAACTATTTTCGCCATATGTCACAGTTTCGGTATTTGGTCGTGGTTAAAACATTTTTGTATTTAAGGAGTACGCAGATTTCCGCATGTGGATAAAATCATTTAAAGGGACAGTAGCCTCTAGGATTTTACTGCATACAACTGTACTTACTGTATAACAAACCGTCTATATATATCCCAAACGTATTTGTTACCAGATACCTAATTTAATTGTTATAATGAATTACACATCAACGCTACGAAATTTGAACGGCGCCATGACACCCGCGACCGTGCTGCCACCCCGAAAAAGTTGCGTATTTGACCAATTTAATTATTTTGCACGTTACAGACCGAGGGCTAATCACAAAAGTGAAATTATATTTTTACCTAATGCCTATTTAACCGAACGATATTCATTTTAGGACAAATTTATCCATATTATAACCTTATCAGATCGTGCGCATTGAATGGCGCCACCGTCGTTGTAATCAAACTGTAGTCGTTAGTTTTAAAACATTAAAAAAATATTTTTAATGATGATTGAACCATGAAACTTTTTATGCAGCGTAATTATAACCTAAATTAGCTGAAAATAACCCTAGAACCTAGAGTAAACTCTCCCTTTAAATAAACTAGGCACTGTCCGTGAATAATTTTAAGTCTCTGTGGCAATGTTTTGGAGACGCCCAAGGTGCAGGGAACATGTTTTATTTTTATGTAAAAGCTCCTCATATGAGCTGTTATGTTCCTGGTATACAAATTTCAATGCCCTACAATGGAGTCTTTCAAGCTTGTCTGTTTGCTTTTTTACAAAAGTGCCATATCAATGGACAAAAATTAAAATTTGACATGATAAAAGCATGATACACAGCCTTCCGTCCTTCCAATGTTAAAAACTTCCCTATACGCTTCAGAACATAAATTTTCTGTGAGGCCTTTTTGCACATTTTACCAACATGTTTGTCAAAATTTAATAAAAAATCTATTTCCACTCCTAGTAAAATGACAGATTCCTCCCATGGTACACTACTGTTGGCTACATAAAATACTGGTTTCTTTTCGAATGTCCGTTTCCCGACACTCAGAGCTTGGAATTTCTCTGGATTTGCTTCCATCTGGTTGTTGGTGAACCATTCGACTAGTGACACACTTTCTGCTTCGAGAGTTTGTTTTAGCTGCTCGAACTCCGGATGACAATATGAAAGGGTGTTGTCATCGGCATAATTAAAGAGGCGTGTTTTGTTTACAAAATAGAATGTATCATTTATAAAAATATTATAAATTATGGGTCCCAAAATCGAACCCTGTGGTACGACCTTTGTGATATTTAGAAAAGTACTTGTACTGGTTCCGAGCTGTACGTATTGCTCACGGTTTGAGAGATAGCTTCCCATTAGTGTTACAGCACCTTCCGACAAACCGTAAGCTTTTATTTTTTCCAGGATCAGATCGTGCGGCAGACAGTCGAACGCTTTCGATAGATCCATTAAAATAGCAGCTACATAGTAATTTCTATCCAATGCTGCCCGCCATTCCTCGGTGAGAGCCAACACTGAACAGAGTTGATTGACAACTATGCCCAGGTCGGAAAGCGGACAGCATTGGATTGAATGTCTTTAAAAAATACAGCCGTCTGCTCAGATATGGCCCTTTCAAAAATTTTGGATATCGCCGGTAGAACACTCACCGGACGATAGTATTGTCTATCAAGCGGGTCCTACTTTTTGTATAACGGAGTGACCCTTGCCAACTTCAGTCTATCAGGAGATGCTCCCCGTTTTAGTGTCAGGTTGACAATTCTTGTTATTGGGAAAATTACTTCATCCTTCACCATGTGAATTATCTTTGTCAATCCCGTTGATTTTTTCTTGCCTATTTTGTCAATATATTTTCTGACATCCCGTTCAGAAACTTCCTGGAAGTTGAACGGGGTGTCAGGAGGTGGTATATTTTTCCGAATAGCCTTTATACTTGGATGTTTACCGCACATTTACAGTTTTCTCCAATTTTTGAGGCAACATTAACGAAGTACTCATTAAAATGATTGCATACCTCATTTTGATTTGAGACGGTTTTATTGTTGTGTCTCAAGTGAATTTGGTTCTGTTTAGTAATCCCCTTCTCAGAGAGAAAAGGATGTATCATATGGTGGACCAGAAATCATTCGATTTTGTGCCACCACCGCATCGTTCGGAAAAATATAGCCGTATTGCTTGCTTCTTCAACCTGTTTACTTTGTTTCTCTGTTTTCTATATATGCTTCCCAGTTCTGCCTGGATTTGCATCTTTGGTGGTTCCTATAAAGCACCTTTTTGTGATTTTTCACGTTACGAAGTTCACCATTCATAAACGGTGCTTTCCTTTTTCGTTTGAATGGTATGTGTTTGTCTATGACTTCACCAAGCATCAGTTCATGTGCCCAGTATACGTCATCAACGTCATCAAAGACGTGGGCCACATGAAATGGTACTTCGCTTAGTTCTTGTTTTAGAAGTTTCTCGTTAGTTGCTTTGAAACTTCTGTACACTAGCTCTTCCTTTTTAAAACCCTGTACATTCCCTCTAAATACTGTATACACAAGGTAATGCCAATCCACTTGCCAATCACTTGGTGACTGCCAAGGTGGTGTCAGTCCAGTGTCGAAAGACTTGGTACAGTACAGCTTTTCTGGTCTGTATGTCACAATAATGTCGACCAATGAGGGTTTACAGTCCTTCATCAAACATGTTGGTTTGTCTACAATGTTATGCATATTGAATGTATCACATATATCAGACATGGGTTTCCCCTTTGTTGCATCACACAGGTCAAAGTTCAGATCGCCTATAATGACAACATTCGATCTCATAGTGAATATATGCTTCGTCCAAATGCGTATAACAATCTGAAATAAAAACATTTCCCCGTTCGCTTGGCGGTCTATATACAGACTTTACCAGCCATGACCCCTGTACCCTCTATTATCCCACCAAGGGTCGTTGTCGTATAGGGTAGTACAAATATGTACCCGAGGTAACTATCTGATATGGTTAAGGTTACGGTTAGGGTTAGGGTTGTTATGATATATGACCGCCAGACGTCGCGTCGAGAAGAGAGGGGGTGTCGCGTGGTATGCACGCATGGTGTAGAATCAAATAAAACGAGTTATTCTAGAAAGATATCTGCGTTGACTTTGCACATGTGTGAGCATCAAACATAACATGGTGTCAGAAGATAGAAACGAAGTCTTATGTCACGTCACAATAGCAGCAGTCTGCTAACGGCAAAGACGAAACAGCCTCAGTATGGTACACCTATTTGACATAGGGATTGCAAGTACAGCACAGCGATTGACCTCACACTGGTAACATAGACTTGTGTACGCAGTTGTGGAGGAATATACAGGACTCGTTGAGGTGTGTGTAACACGCAACACAGAACAAAGATGACGGAGCTCACATGCATACCGATACCCTCTATGGACTGGATTCTGGAATGCAAATAACCTCCCAGAGGCATTCAGGAAATTTCAGCAGACATGTGAGTTTATATTTAAAGGCCCACTGGAACGTAAATCTGACGCAGTGTAAACCCAGTATTTGATGCTGTGGATAGGTGAAGAGGGCAGAGACATTCGGGAGAGTTGGGAGTTGACAGCTGCACAAGCCTCAGACCTTGCTCTACACTGGGAGAAGTTTAGAAGCTACGTTTACCGTTAAGCCAAAGTCCAATTTTAGAGTAGCCAGGTTTCAACTACGTGCATTGACACAAGACCCAAGCGAGACCGTGGACGCATTCATGACGCGTGCACGGATTGTGTCAAGGGAGTGTGAGTACACCGCAGGCTTTCAGATTTGAAAAATACAGGAGGACTACTAATGACTCCCCTAGGACACCATAGGGGGTCTTTTCACGCTCCATAATCACACCCGTAAGAGGCATGATGGAGAGCTCCACTAAAAAATCACACCCTTAAGAGGCATGATGGAGAGCTCCACTAAAAATCACACCCTTAAAAGGGATGATGGAGAGCTCCTTGCGGGCTCTCCATCATGCCTCTTGGGGTGTGATGATGGAATCATGACCAATCCCAGTCTAGAGTGAAATCCAAAACGAAAATTGGGATGTCATGTCAATCCACTAATTATCATTCATCTTCACCTTCATTCATTCAATGGCTTCGTCATGATTACAATTCTTTTCATCCAACAACCCAACACTAGCACACAGATTAATAAAAGAGTTGATCGGAGTTGAAAGAGTTGTAAAAATAAACTTGTCTTATTTATTCTGAACTTCATCCTTAGAGACTCTAATACATGTACCTGCATATTTCAGCACGAAATATCATCACAATC